CAACCCAAGGTCAGCAGAGAATCGGGGGATGGGTTCCCACAATACATTCATCAGTTAAGGGACATTTAGGTTGTTTCCATTTCTTAGTTATTGTGAAAACAGGGGCAACAACTATGGATGTGCAGGTATCGCTACAGTAGGACTCCCATTCACAATAACCTCAAAAAAATAAAATATTTAGGGATAAACCTAACCAAAGACATTAACGATCTCTAAATGAAAATTTCAGATCTTTAAAGAAAGAGATAAAGGAAGGCACCAGGAGATGAAAGGACCTACCATGTTAATGGATTGATAGAATTAATATTATGAAAATATCATCTTACCAAAACAATCTATAGATTCAATGAAAGTCCAAACAAATTATCCATGACCTTCTTCACCATCCTAAAAACCATCTTAGGAAAACGCCATCCTAAAATTCACCTGGATCCACAAAAGACACCAGATAACCAAAGTAAACTTGAGCACAAAGAACAATGCTAAGGGAATGTCCATACCAGATTTCAGATTATATTAGAGAGTCATAAAAACAGCATGGTACTGGCACAAAATAGACACATAGGTAAATGGAACACAATAGAAGACACAAACATGAGTCACCTGATATTTGATAAAGGCGTAAAGAACATACACTAAAAGAAAGAGAGCATCTTCAATAAATGATGTTGACAAAATTGGATTTCCACCTGTAACAGAATGAAACTGAACCCTTATCTTTCACCATGTGCAAAAGTTAACTCCAAATGAATCAAAGACCTCAATAGAAAACCTGAAACTCTGAAACTACCAGAAGAAAACATAGGCAGTACCCTCCAAGATATAGATGTAGGAAAGAGCATTCTAAATTGGACATCAATTGCCCTGGAATTAAGGTCAACAATCAACAAGTGGAACCTCATTAAGCTACAAAGCTTTTGTACAGCAAAAGAGTTCAAGAAAGTGAAGAGGAAACACACTGAGTGGGAGAAAATCTTCATATGCCACACATCCAACAGAGGATTAATGTCCAGAATATAAAGAACTCAGAAAAAAAGAAACAAGAAAATAACCCAATAAAAAGATGGATATGGATATGAACAGGGAGTTCTCAAAGAAAGAATAAAAACGACTAAGACACACCTTAAAAATTGTTCAACATCTTTAGTAATTAGAGAAATGCAGATCAAAACCACTTTAAGATCCCATCTTCCCCCTATCAGGCTGGCTAATGGATCAAGAGAACAAAAGACACCAAATGCTGGTGAGGATGTGGAGCTAGGGAAAAGTTCATTCACTGCTGATGGGATTCCAAACTCATGAAGCCACCATAGAAAGTCATGTGGAGAATTCTCAAAAAAACTAAAAATGAATCTACCATATGATCCAGTTTACCACACTGCCTTTTTGAGGAATCCAACTTTGTGATTTATGGTATGCCTTCTGAATTTCCTTGGTTACTTAGCTATTCACCATTTGGGAATGCCATATTACTAAGAATAATGGTAGTTGTGATAGTCAAGTTATTGATTTTGTAAAACTGCATTAACTTGACCTTTTAATCAATAAACCACAAATATGACAGAGAATTGAAAGCCCTTGTGTTATGTCATATGCACACACATGTAAAGCATATATATCCATCCATGCATACAGAGCAATATGTAAGGAATGGAAATTGTCAAACCATTAAAATTATTTCCTTTTCCAACTTATTTTATGTTATATATGATTTGACTATGATGTCTTCTGTGGGGGTTTTATTCATGATTTCTCCACATTCCTTTGTGTTACTGAGTCTTTGCTGCAACCTGTTCTTATCACCCTCTTCCTATTCATGGACATTGCCTCCAAGCCCTTCTGAGTAATGGAAACGAAATTTTGAGATAAGCAATGGTATTTGTGGTAATTTATATCTCAATCCCATCTTATATGTAAGGAATTATTTCGGCTCTAAGCGTCAAATCATCTCCAACCTCATTGGACAGTCTGTTACTGACATTGATGTGTTATTTCTAGAGTCAGGAAGGACATTTCCCTTTATGTGTCATAGACACATTGCTCTGCTTTGTAAACATCTTAATGTGGTTTTTTTTTCCTAGTCATTTGAGACAGGGTCTCCCTCTAGCTCCAGGTAGACTGGAATTCACTGTGTTGTTCAGGCAGACCTCCAGCTCTTGGAGATACACCTGCCTTTGCCTTGAAAGTACTGGGATTAAAAGTGTAAACACTTTGCCCTGGTTAATGTTGTTTGTTTTTTATTGATTTTTTTCTGTATTTCATACAGAACATCCCAAACAATCTTACTCATCTTTATGCCACATCCCAAATGGCAGTCTTTCATAGCCGGCCTGGCCCCTCTGCTCCACTGGAGCCTATATACTCTGTCATCCTTGTTACTGTCCACTGTGTTCTTAGTACCGTCAACAGTTCCCCCATGCAAGGCCATCCGCTTAGTCAGCCTATCTAGAGTTCCTTGTTTTAGGAAGATCAGCTGTTCCTCATCTAGCAGTAATCAGATGCCAACGTTCCTTTAGATGAGATTGTGTTCTGCTGTTCATTTTCCCAGTTCTATGCTGGTTACTGTCTGGGAGTCTCTTGTGCCACCTGAGTCAACAACTCAAAGGAAGGTATCTCCTGTCTGGCATTGTTTCTTGTTATGCAGCCTTTAGCTATAAACAAGGACTCTTAAAGAAATATACTGATCACTTTAGTATTTGGTTATACTTTCCTTTGGGGTTTTTAAGACCATACAGTTGCCCAAAACAAACTGATTTATTTTTAGTCTTATGGTCATTTGAGGATCTATTCTTCAGGGGTAACATGGTCGTGGGAGGAGGTCCTGCCCAACCACCACTGGCTTCACTTGAAAGCATGGAGGAAATGTTTCCTCTGTGTTGACTTTCCTCTTTGCAGACTGGATGCTAGTTCAAGTCCATCTGGTGTGGTCTCCAAGGCCTCCCTATGTAAGAGGACAGATGACTCAGCACAGTTACAGAACATTTTGAGAGATGCTCCATAGTGCCCTGGAACTTAGTCAACCTTGGAGGGCAAGGAGCAAAAATTGTCCTTGGAGTCCCTCTGACCATATTAGTATAGGCCTCAAAGTACGGCTGTCAAACATCCAAGAAGGTTAGTTCCACCAGTCTGGTACTTTTAATTACCATGTGCTATGTAGATAAAGCTTGGGTAAAAACCAAACATTCTCAGATAAATCTTGACTAAACTTATATTTTGTTCCTTGAACTACTTGTATGTGTAATTTGTCAGGTTGTTGGATTAATATGGTTCTCTCTATTTTTTTAAAACTAGCTAGGCATTATTTATCTCCCTTACTGTCTAACCCTTCCACCATAGTTTCCCATTTAAAGTGCCCCCATTTTTCCCATTTCTTTCTATGGTCACACCTCTCTTGAGCACCTTCTTTCCCTTTATCCTCAAGGTTCCTTTAATGACCCTCCCTCCCCCTCCCATTTAAATAATTCCATTTTTAGGATGTGAGGGTAATCTGGCTGTGATATCTGTCACCCCATTGATGGCCAAGGTTGATTAATGTTGTTTTTAACTTAATGTTTAGTCATATAACTATTTTTTACTTCTTGTGTATTTAAGTTTAATTTTACTGAGACATAAAAAAATGTACAAAGTGATGGGATAATGTGGTATGTATGTATGTACGCCTTGCTTAATGTATAAATAAAGTTAAACATTCCTGATCCCGATATCTTCTTGTGGTCTTTTTTTGATTAGCTCAGCTATGCTCCCATTTGTCATGTGCCCACTTTAATACCTCAATCCATTTTCCATTGCTTAATTCCTCCTCCATCTTAACTTTTCAAGTTATGATAGATTTAATATCACCTTCAGTAATTGCTTTTAAAAGTAGAAAGTCATTGAAAAAAAATTAAGCTCAGCACTGGGTAGGTAGAGGCAGAGGCAGATGAATCTATGTGAGTTCAAGGTCAGCCTGGGTGACCTTGCAAGTTCTAGGCCAACTGGGGCTACAGGGAGACCCTGTCTTGAAAACCCCCAAATAATTATAACAACAACAACAATAATAATATATAAAACGAATTAAGAAATATAATATACCCAAAAGATGTATTTTGTCACATTTTATTTTCTTTATGGTTTTCAAGATGCCAAACATGTGAACCCTTCATGATTTTTTTTGGGGGGGGCAGAGGAAATGATTAATGACAACCTTAAAATAAGCTGTAAATAAACAAATATCACAATGGAAGTGTGTTTACTGGTGACTGCTCAAAGAGACAATTATATTTCGTGGGTAAAATCTCATATTCACAATGTCATTTCCTATACAAGTGAATTCCTCAGCTCTATTTTGTGCAACAGACAACAGTGTGTCTACTTTCAGTGGCATGGGGACAGGATGGTTTTAGGGATTTTTTTTTTCAATAGGAAGCTTATTCTTTTAGCCAAAGAAAGAAAGAAAAGATAGTCCCAATATCATTGCATATTTTTAAAATCTTATAAAAGCATATTATTCCTTGAGTATATAGGAAATGCATGAGATTTTTGTTTGTTTATCTAGAGAAAGAATGTATCATCTACACACAAAGAACATCTAGTGATATTAGGGGTTATGAAACAAATATTTCCTCAAGCTCTAATACTTTATACACCTATGACTCAAAGTCAATATCATATTCCCCTCATTGAGTCTTAAAGCTGTGAGCAGCAAAGGAGTGACATGTACAAATTTGGAAATTGTCAAAATTCAAGTAGAACATTAATGATCGAGTGTAAATTTTCCTCTTCCCTTTTTGAGTCCCTCAACACAATCCATTCGTCACTCTGTACCACTATTGGATATGATTCTACAAGACTGAATTATGTGGGCAATTAACAACTCAGAGGAAAAACTTACAAAATACATTGTGGCAAGTATATTTAACTTGGGTTAGAGTGTTGGCTCCATGTTGAAAAGTACATGCTGCTTTTATGAAATACCTACCTAAGTCCAGTATCCAGTATCTGTAATTCCAGTTTCAGGGAATCCAATGCCATCTTGTAGTTCTTGAAAACTTGCAGGCAAACATTTCATACATATAAAATAAAAATAAATGATTTTTTAAAAAATAGTACTTTAAAAATATTTTATTTTTACTTTATGTCTACAAGTGTAATGTCTGCATGTATGTAAGTGCACCATGCCCTGCAATACCCATGGAGATCAGAAGAGGGAGTCAGACCCCCTGGAACTGGAGTTGCAGATGGTTGTTTGTCACCATGTATGTGTTGGTAACAGAACCCCAGGTCCTCTGCAAGAGCATCCCATGTTGTTGACCGCTGAGATGTCTTTCCAGCCCTTAAAAAAATATTTACCTTATATACAGTTTTACTACTTTTATTTCCATGCACAAAAACATAAACACTATATTCTTTATCTAAAGACAAAAAATTACTCCAAAATTTAGTGGCTTAAAAGTAATAGACATTTAATAACCCAGAGATGTAGCACATCAGGTCCTTGGAAATGGCTAAGCTATTGAGGTCTCTCCATTAGTGACAGTAGCAGAAAGTCCACAGCTCTCTCTCTCAAAGCCCCATCATGCAGGCTACATTTTCAAGCTCACTCAGCAACTGCTGGTGGATTCAATTACTTGGGGCTTCTGTGCTGACAGGCTGTTCCATGCTGACTATTGCTCCTAGCCTTCCCTAGCTTCCTTGATAGGTTGTCCTCTCCATCAGAATCAGTGTGTAGGGCAAGCCTGGGAGAGAAAGCCAAAAATCCTTAATCTTATAAGCTAGCCATGGAAGAATGGTTCCATGTTTTACCATACTCCATCATTAAAAGTAAATCACCAAGCTCATATTTTCCTCCCATATAGGCGTGTAAATCGCCATAGGTCAAGATTATTTGGAAGTGTATCAGAAGTGCTCCTTATACACACAAAAGAAAGTAAAGGACTCTTGTGGCATTTCTTTTTAAAATTCTACTCTTCTAAATACTGGCAAGAGTATTTTGACTGATACAGATATGAAGTATTTCAGAGGATGTGTTTATTCATACAAAAAACATACAGAATTTTCCAGTCCTTGGACCAGATGCTATGAATTCAGCGGTTAGATTCTTAATACCTCTCTCCCAGGACCTCCACTTCCGTGTCAGGAAACAAATATGTAATGGAGCTTGTGAGATAGGTTGTGGTTGAGAACAATGAGAAGCCCGTATATTCCTTAAGGGGTAACTTCTCAAAGTGCATGGTCCACTATTCCAAGCAACAGCAGCATTTATGTTCGCAGTTTGTTTTGTTCAGTCAACTAAACAACGGACTTTGCTCTAGTGAAAAGGAAGGAGCAATAGAGAGACAAATCAGTGTGATTACAGTACTAAAATACAAATCTGGACAGTTGGCACAAAAAAATTACACTTCTGTAGTCCATGCCAGAGGGCAGTGAGGGAGGGTTTACCCAAGGGAGATAGGGTTATGTTGGAATACTGAAAGTCAATATCCCATGTGGATGGGTGTTTGTAGGTGCTGGGACCTTTTGGAAAACAAGAAATGCATAAAATATAGCAGGCTTAGGTGCCATCCTAGCTTTAACTGTCTATTTGAAACAGCCTAGAGTCACCTGAAGAGGGAATTTCCATTGAAAGTTTGTCTAGATGAGCTTGGCATATGGTCACGTCTGTGGGGAACCTTCCTGGTTGTTAATTGACGTAGGGGGCTTGACTCCACTGTCAGCAGATGAACCTAGGCTGTATACGAAAACTAGCTAAACATGGGCCAGCAAGCAACATTCCTCCGTGGTTTTTCCTCAAGTTTCTGCTTCAATTCCTGGCTTAATTCACTGCAATGATGAACTATGATGCAGAAGTGTGAGCCAAATAAGTCCTTCCCTCTCCTATGTTGCTTTTGCTTAGTGTATCCTATCACAGCAACAGAATGAAACTACAAACAATGCTTTCTGAAATAGTAACTGAATCTTACAATTATCAGGGTTCAGGTAAAAATAATAGAATCCATACTATGTCATCAAATAAAGCAGCGTATAATAAATCTAATTATGTATCTAAAAAAATCCTTAGAAAGCTAGTTCTAAACTGAAGTGCTCTAGGACAGCTTTATATGCAGGAAAAATAGATGTGCTTTTTCTTGACTCTTTAGAAATGCCAAACATTACCAAATGTTCACCAATTTTAAGCCTTTAACTATCGATCTAATGATCTCTGAGAAATGCAGTCTTTGGTTCCTCTGACTGTGCTAGAGAGAAAAACTGGAATAAAAGCTGTTTCTCAGAACTAGTTATATGTATTTTTAATTACATTGTTCACAGAGTTTGTGAGATCTGTGTATGAAGATTCCCAGCCAGCATGGCATAAACAGATCTGAATTTAAGGAGAACATACCTGCATGGTCCTCTGCTGGTAACTGAGATGAAAAATGTATTTCACGCAAAGAGTGGGAAACAGTGTGCATGGCTTCTGCCAATGCATTTAGGCATTACATATGAATCTCTGAGTGAAAACTCAAGAATGTTAGAAGTTCAAAGTTGCTAAATTCCACTATAACATCTATTTTCAACCTTGATCTAATAATTTGGACCTGGTTGTCAACATGCTGGCTAAATTAATAAGTTACTATATCGAACTAAGGATCTGATGAAACCTCCATTCTGGTGTCAGAATCTCTGAGGGAAACTTTTATTAGATTTCACCAAAATCATTCTTCCCATCACTTTTTAATTATCTCTGTCCGTTGGAATATGTGTGTGCCAAATTTCCTGAAAAGCCTATCAAAATGTGAAGGAAGCTGGGGAGATTATGGTCTCCTGTTTGTGTTACAATCATGGCTACTTTGTTTGAATGTTTAGTTTTAAAGGGTTTTCAAGAGGGCCAGTGAGATGATTTAGTGTTTAAAGGCATTTGTGTCAAGCCTGAGGATCTAGATTCAATCCCGAGAACCCAAATGGTGAAATGGGAAAACCAACTCCCACGAGTTATCCTCTGTACATCACAGGTGTGCCATGGTACATGGGCAACACTCTCCTCTCACACACACTTACACAATAAATATCTGCAAAATAAACATTTTAAACTGTGAGAGACATGTTTGATTATTCTATCTCCCTTTGTTCTGTAGCTTCCTTTGTAAAGATTCCTGATGCTAAATTTTAACCATCCTGTGTCCTCCAATTCTACCTGCAGGTTCCTTTGAAAAGATTCATGATTCTAGACCCTAACCATCCCATGTTCTCTACTACCCCTTTTGGGTAGACATCCTCTGAAAAGCTAGAACTGAACAGGGCAGGTCTAGAGACCTATGCAGAGAAATGCAGAGCACACTGGAAAATGGGTGGAGCTGTCACCATAGGGGACACAGGGAATGGAGCCACAAGCCACAGTTGAGACAGCACATGAAAAGCTGGCGGAGACTGTGGGCAGGATGCACTATGTGTTTCAAATATGGGAAGAAAAAGCCTATGAAAATTCATGCCTTTGTAAGTCATCCTTTCCTAGATGTCATAAGCTATGCAAAACCCAAATAGAAGATATATCAGTTTTGTCAATCCACATTAGAACTAAGAGACCCTGGGTGAGCGTGGGTCTCTGGGGAGCAGGGGGGAGGAGAAAATTTTGTGCAACAAATTGGCACAGCCAGCAGTATGATGCTGGAAATGACAAAATGCAGGAGCTCTGGAAAAGCAATGGGGTTAGGAGCAGTCACATGGGTTATATAATGGACCATGAAATACATAATTAAAATGATGGGCTCAAAAGGGGAAACCCCTGGTTTGCCGCTATCTTGTGAATGTGGGAAAATAGCTCAATTGCTTGAGAAATGGAGGCTGCTGTCATGTGTGTCTTAAGACTCTTTAAGGGCTGTGGCAAGCCTAGAAAAAAATTACAAGCCTTGGACACAAGAGGGGAATCCAGAGACATGGCCTGGCCACTTCTTTGCACAATTATAGGTTTATCCAAGGCAAAGGCAACAGCTTCAGACGAGGCTTAAAAGACTAAGGAGTTACTGGCAAATTCAATCTGACCCTTAGAGCTTGAGAGAGAAAAAAAAAGGAGATTTTAACTTGTTTAAGTTTAGGGGAACAGGAGTCAAAGGACCCAGGAAAAAAGACAGATAGTAATGAGGATAGAAATGACCTAGATTTGAAATTATCTAAAGCTGCCCCCAGATTCAACCTTTGATGCAAAAAGAGAAAAAAGTTAGCAGTACTATATATAGGAGAAAATACTCTACACTGGAACTGTTGAGATTGGGAAAGACTTTCAAAAAAGCAATTAAAGAGCCCCTCACTATGTGGCTCGTGAGAGTGTGGGACATGGGAACAAATAATATCAGCTTAAGTCCTTCAGAAATATCACAGCTGAGTTATATAACCACCCATTCGTCCTTGAGACATGGGCTGTTTAACCTAGGCCAATACAGGGGGGAGAAGTTCCTAATGGAATGACTTGTGCAAGACATTAAAGATATGTGGTCATCACCAATGGAGACTCCTATGGTCAGAAGGGACTGGAGGACCAGAGAAGAGGGACAGACATTACTGAGAGAACTAGGTATAATGAAGGCAATATATGATGCCCAGTTTACTGGGCTATATAAAGCTGTGTTCACCAGAAATATAAAGGAAAGCTTAATTCAACTGAGACCTCAAAAATGCTATGGATCTTTAATGGTTTTGCTAAGTCCCTTAATGGAACATATCTTTGTAAAGTGAGGGAGGCTTTGGCAGATCTAAGTGACTCAAACCAGCATGTAAAATGTGTCTATAGAATAACAGAACAACCTGCAAGAGATATAAAAAAGACAAGACGGAAGAAATGGTCTGTTTGAGTTACTCAAAGATAAATATGGCAAGATTTATGTCAAGCCCAACTTCCTAAGGAAAAAAAATGATAGAAAACCAAATTCAGTGCTAAGGAGTTTCTGGAAGGATTTAAAAACAGAACAGTTAACAAAAGGCATTAAGAGGAAAAAACTGTCCCTAGGGTGGTTAAGGATTCCCAAAGATTAAATAAGTTACATGTCTCTTCTGAGAAAGGCTATGATAGAGGTGGAGGCAGTTTTTCCTACCAAGGCCTCCTCTTAAGTATTTTCTTCATACGATAAAGTCAGTGGGGCTGGAAAAAAATAGATGTCTCTGAACCAGCTAAACCCAAAGTAGTATATCTCAGGTCCTACTCTGAGAATAAAATTTTGATTGGTACAGTTTGGCTAGCAGGGTCCAGACAAAATTATATTGTTGGTGCTCATTGTAGGCATGCAAGAAAAAACAACTGAAAAATCTAGATAACAGCCTGCTGCTCCACATTTCATTGAAGATCAATGATTTTCAAAGGCATTTCTATAGCATCATAACAGTGACTGTCCACTCATGATATTGCCAGAAGTAATCCTCCATCTACTAATCTTACCTAATACTCACCAGGAAGGTAGCCATTGTTACAGCAATTATGTCTTTTTCTCATAGTCAAAAAACTAAGACACTGTGAAATCAGCAGCATGTCTCTATATTAAATTTTGGACTTCTATGCCCTGTGATAATACCTTCATGTTTATGATCCAACATCAATTCTTAAGGTGCTCTAACTTTGTATTTTGTTTCACTTAATTTCTCCAAATAAGAAATAGCTTTCTTCCATCATTTCATCTCTAAATCTCAATCCCAAATGTTGGATATTTTATTGAGTGCCAGATGATTAACTTATTAAGACAATTTGGTAAGGGCCTGAAGAGATTGCTCAGTTGATACTTTCTGCTTTCTCTGCAAGCATAAAGACCTAAGTTGAGGTCTTTGGCACTCATGTAAAAAGCCAGGCCTGACAGCGTGCAGCCCAGTGGGAGGCAGAGAAAGGAGATTTCCTGGAGTTCATGACCCAGCTATTCTTGCTAGCCAGTGAGCTCCAGGTTCAGATAGAGATTGTCTCCAAAATGTAAGCTGGAAAAGTGATGGAGGAAGACACTGGCATCAGCCTTCAGTCTTCACATGCATGTTCAGATGTGTATGTGCAACACCACATGCGCAGACATCCACACACTCCATCGATACAAAACAAAATAATTAGAATATTTCTTAGGAAATATTAGTTGCATTTTTCTGTTTCTAGAGATCAGCTACCTGATTATGGACTTAAAAACTGTTATCATTTCAAGAACTCTGGCATCAAGCCCTCTTGATCCAGTTCCTGAGAGTGCTTTGCATTTTGTTGATCAAAGAATTAAGATCTAGCAAGACAGACTGCTACAGGATGTTCTGTGAAGTCATAAACAAAAGTGATAAATGAAGTAGCCCACAACTCAGAACTGTAGAATCTAATATCCATATTCTACCCCAACCCCTGACAACTAGACCTTTCTTCCTTTCTACAAGACAATCCCCCTCAAAGAGCTATGCTTTATGCAGACCATCCTCAAATCAAAAGGCCAAAACCTGGAGAGTGTTGACCATTAACAGTGTTCTTGGCTCTTTCTTGGGGACTAGAATTCCTGGGAAGGTACTGTGATTCTTCTCATTTTCCTATACCCCATGCTTCCCTCATCTTATTTCTCCAGACCAAATGGGACATCAGACTGCTTGGAAGGTTCTGAAAATGTGCCTTGTATCCATGTGTTCAGTGCAAGCCCTGCTTCCAATCTGCACATACATCGGCAACCTCTCCTGCTGCCTTCAGGAAGTTGGAAACAGATGTTTCAGTTAAACTAGTAATTGTGCTTCTGTATTTGTGTTTGGAATTCAAAGAACTTCTATCCAGTATGTTGAAGGAAAATCAAGTTCACATAGTGGGCCTAATAAAGTGGAAGAATAATATTTGATAAATTAAGAATTTTTGTCATGGAAAGTATTGTTTATTTACTTAGAAGTGTATGTGAAGAGATAAGTATAGACCAAGAACTGAAATTCCCCTTTGCCTGATAACTAAAACAGATCTACCATACCCTATTTCAGTAGGACTGCTATGCATTAAAGGTTTGTGTCTCCCGAAGGATCCTAACTTGGAACCTATTATGGTTTGAATGTGAAATGTCCCCCACAGGACTGGGGTTTAAATGTTTGTTTCCAAGCTAGTGGAACCACTTTGAGAGGCTGTGGTTCCTTGGGAAGTGGGGCTTGAATGGCATAAGTAAGTCATTAGGGACAGAAAAAAGCCCAGCCCTTGATTCTGGTCTCAATATCTATGTTTTGCTCTGTGTGAGAACAGCCTCTGCCATATGCTCCTGCCTCTGTAACCTGAGCTTCTCCACTGGGCAATCCCACCAGGATGGACTGAAACCTACTGAAACATTGAACAACAATAAATCTTTCCTGTGTTAAGTTGTTTCTGTTGGGTACTATCATCACAGTGACGCTGAAGTAATCTCTACAGATCCTTAAGCCCAGTGTCACAATATTGGTAGTTTGGGTCTTTGAGTGGTAACTTAGTGGCAAAGGAGAAACTCCCATAAAAGTGTTTAAAGTGATTAATTTTGGTTGCTAACATCACACACTTTACAAGATGAAGCCACAATTAAGAAATTTCTTCCTCTGGATTGGGCCTGTGGATATGTCTGTGTGGCATTTGCTTGATTATTAATTGATGTTGGAGGGCCTAGCCCACTGTGGGTGGTATCATCCCTAGGCAGGTGGTTCTGGGCTAAATAAGAAAAGTATGTGAGAATGCTAGAAAGAGCAAGCTGGTGAGCAGCTCCATAGTCTCTGTTTCATTTCCTGCCTCCAAGTTTCTATCTTGAGTTCCTACCTTGGTGTCCCTGGATGATGGGCTATAACCGGTAATGCAAATAAACCCTTTCCTCTCTCACATGGCTTTTGGTCAGTTGTCATCACAGCAACAGAAAGTAAATGATAACATTTCACTTATAAGATGAATCCAAAAAGCAGTTAGCTGTCTCTCTGCTGTACACAAGAAAACTCTCTGCAAACCAGGAGCAGAGAAGTCACCAAGATTCCCAAAAGGCTGACACAGACCCTGGACTTTCAGTCTCCAGACCATAAGAAAAAGATTTTCTATTGTTAAAGTCATTTGTTTTATGCAAATTGCTTAAAGCAGTCCAACTTAATACCAGGACATAGCAATAGTTCATATTATGTTACTTGCTAAGGAATTACATATAGCCTGTGTCTGCATAGGAAGATAACATTCTTCTTAGACAACAGAGTGCTATAATTTGTTCTTTGTAATTGACAGAAGTATAGTAAACCAGGTTTTATACTACTTACTCAGTAATATAATTCTCTTTCTCGGTGGACATCCTCTATCTGTTCTAGAGTCTCAGAAATTTCAGTTAAGTAAACGTCAGATCCCACAAGTAAGCAGCTCATATTTTCATGGAGAACTCACACATAGACTTTACTCATTTCATAGGATATACTCACTGCACACAGCATTACTGGTATGCACAGAGTTTCCCAAGTTCTCCCACATTCAATCCAATGAGAGGGGCATGAACAGGTAGCCCAACTGATGAAGAATCAAGGACAGCTAGGGATACTTACCCAGCACTCCTCAAAGGAGTAAGTTGGTACACTCATTGGAATACAGGTGTTCTTATTTCTTTTCCATTTCTTGGCAACCTGGTGAGACTTTGATAAGGGAGGTCAGAGCTATGAGAGTCGGGTATATACCAGACCCAGAGGGGCTAGAGGAGTAATGGAAAACCCAGGGAAGAGCTGGTGAAATCTACTTAATCTTTATTTTCTGAAGCTTTTATTATCACACATCTATCTGTGAGAGAGGGAGAGCTATAAAAAAAATAAGTGCTATTACCCATGGTGTAATGAAGAAAACACCCTACCCACACCTCCCTGGGACCCCAGCTCAGCCTTTCTACTTATTGTGTTTGTTTATTTTTAAACTAGTTTGCTTGTAGCATAGCTTCATCACATAAAGACTGCTGAACACCATGGAAACTGGTATCCATTTTTCACCTAACTCTTTATTGGCTACTGTGCTCTCATCCAGCCCTGACATTTTATGTCTCGTCTCTTGGCTAAACTTCTCATTTGATCAAAATTAAAGTTCTGTGCTGTGGCAATGTGTGCAGAACCTTTACTTTCCATTCGAGGAATTGTTGGTTTCAATGATTCGAACTTCAACTTGTCCTCTTTCTTTGATAGGGATGAGAAACCTTTCATTTGTCCACTAATCTACAGGCTTCTACCAAGGGTTTCTACTTTTATAATATTTTGTGGTAGACATTTAAATGCAAATATTAATGGAATTCAAGTCCTGCTCAGGAAGTGGCAGAATGACTATAGTAGAGGATGATGTTGAATAAAAGTATGCAGACTGTTAGCAAGGCCCATTGAAGGCAACTTGAAAATATGCCTGGCAAGCTTAGGTTTCATGAAGCTGATGGAATTTGAGTTAAGGTTTTGAGCTACAGCAGGTGAGTTGGATGGTTTGGAGAAGACTGTTCTTCCAAGTCAAGGGGAATGAGATGTAAAAGCACACAGACACATGAAAGTGGCAGGTGTATGAAGACCCTCCATGGGACGAGATAAAGCTGAGGTGAGGGAGATGCAGAAGTGAGGTGGGGGAAAAGCTGAAGGAGGTAAGATAAGGAACATGAGGGGTAGACGAACTCTAGACTAGGCAGGTAACCTTATCCCGAAGCCCAGGGGATCACCTCTAGGGATCCATGTGCTCATAAATCTCTACAGCTACTTAAACTATCCTATGTTTTGCATATATAAAAACATATGTAACTATTTGAGGGTGAGGAAGATGGTAGTATAAAACTGTGAAGCGCTTTTCAGAATCTTTCTGAAAATGTAGAAGCCATTTCTATAGACAACAATGTACCATTGTGTATTCTAAGATGTAGAGGAAGTGAGCAAGTCAGGAATTTAGAAATCCTTAACATGCAATTAAATCATTTGCTTTTCATATCATTAATAGGAACAAATGCAATTTTTGTTTTAATGGTATACAGAAAATACTCTTTGTGATAAGCTAGTAGAATTTAAAAACTCATCACATTTTTGCACTTTGGATATTGACTTCAAAAACTGGTGATCTAAGAAGTCTTGAAGAAGGTATTTTTTGAAAACAAAGTGCTCTATTTGGAAATGCTTGCTGACTCAGTTGATTGGCAGCATGGCATTTCAGGAAGTGGCCAGTGGCCAGAGCATTGGGTCTGTGGGCTGAGGCCCAAGATTAAGCACAGACTGGCTGACGCACTGGTGTCATCAACTAAAGCATTTCCATATTCATATCTTATACATGATATTTAAACAAATGTTCATATTTTCATGGAGGGCAAAACTACAAAATCTGGAAGTCCCATTAGAAACTTATGCAAGAGGCTAAACAGGATTTGAACCTTGAACTTCTCTTACGTCCACACCACATTAATGATGTAAATGCTCTACAAATGGGTAAATGTGAGTTAGAAATAATTATGATTTTGGTCACGAAAAGAAGACTTTGTTTTTCTGGAGAATGAATGAAACAAACTATCCAACAAAGTGAACGCTACATAAGATTTGATCCAGATGAAAAGTATCAGTCATCTTTTTTTTCAAAATGGCACAGTTATTAGAGAAGGAGGGTGTGACCTGAAGATCAGTGGAATTGGAAGACCCACTTTAGAATCCTCAGTGCAACTTAATTTTCAGGTAAAGCAGTATATAAATTGGATGAAGGAAGCAATATGGCAAGGTCGTGAGCTATCATATAATCTTAACCTAGAGGCACCATCCCAGAAACTTCCTGTATAGGATTCAATATTTCAATTGTGTAGATATGTCTGTTAAGAGATTCTGTACTATGTATCTTTATAAGAAGTTCTTGTATTAAACTCAATTAGATGCAAATGTTTCATTTTAAGTATTAATAGTTAAATGTTTTTTCTATTATTTGGGGAAAACTGTCTTAAGTTATATGACCTAGCTAGATAGAAGTTACACTATCACATAGTAATTTGTCTAGGCTCTATGTAACATAAAAGAGAAAGAAATTTAAAGGAAGTCATGGGAAGGAATTAGATATTTCAAGACATTAATCCAAGAAACAACTACCATAAAAGGTGTTTTCTCAGATACATGTGCATTTGTGTACCATTGTTGTGCATAAGTTGGCCATAGAAACAAACCATTCCTGCATTTGTTCCTAGACATTCAAATTGCATTAGCACAGATGCCTTTGAGTACATAATTTTCCAATATAGTAAATAAGTCTTAATAAAGTTCTGAACAAAAGAATTCATCATCTTCCCTCAATGTAAACCAGAAATGCAATCATAGTCTGCATATTAAACTCAGAAAAACATTATTTTGTTTAGTAAATATAAAATTATGTGGAGATTATGCCAAAGTAATTATAAGTAATCATTGTTAAGGTTTTGAAACTTCATGAGTATCTGGATGGGTAGTCGGAGCCAGGGAGCCTGTTTGTTTTATAAGAACTAGTCATCCTTCAAGACCATCCTTCACATTGTGGGACATTTGAGAACTCAACCTGGTATTTTCTCACTAAGTTCAAGTCATTCCAAAATTTATAAACTGTCTTCTCCTCTTCCTTCCATTCCTTTTTCTCCTCCTTTTCTTCTTCATCGTTTTTTTCTCCTGCCTCCTTCCTTACTGGCTGATACCACAAGCTGCCCTAGGCTCATGGAGTCTATGTGCTGACTCATGCTTGGAATCAGCCATTTCTTGAATGAACTTTAACTGTGTTAATGAATTATGTTAGAAACCAAAATCAAAGTGTTGCTCTGCTACTAAAATATTATGGCATCTAGTGCTTTAGCTGGGAGTCAAGGGTACGTGTGTGTGCGTGCGCGCACACGTGCACCTTATGCACCTATGCCGATCTTCGCTGTCTATGTAACTGTCTATGTTTCTCTCAATACAAGTGCTTATTGATGCCGTCCACTCCAGTACAGTTCAATGGAGATCAGTTTCACATTTTTCTCTTATCTGTAACCACTCCCCCAGTGAGAAAATTGGTTTTCACTACTCTCCTTTCATTTACAATTGCTGTGATCAAACTAGAGTGATTTTAGATAGCTTCTTTGCTTTAAGTCTGCCAGACATTTCAAAATGTCCCCCATCCTCTTCTACATTTATAATATGGTTAAATTATTGTTTGTATTTCATCTTTGAATCACTGAAGCCTTTAAGTATGCATTTTAGATGACATATATTGTTTGATGATGTAAATTTTAAGAGCTTGGTAAATGGTATTATTTATCTACTGCTAACATATATTACAGAGTACTTTTATTATCCAAAAATCTCTCCTGGTCTTTGCTTGTCAACTCTTGAAAACCACTGGTGTTTTTACTGTCCCTATAAGATTCCCTTTGCTAAAATTTCATAAATTAGAACTCTCTTTATATGGTCTTTTCAGATTAGCTTCTGCCCTTAGCAGTATGAATTTAAGATGCATCGATGCCTTCGTGTGACTTAGCAGCTTATTCTTTTTTTATGACCTGGTATCATTGTGCTGTGCTGTGTAAATGAATTACTAATTGTCCATTTTCTAGTGAAGGACAACTTTGTGGCTTACAAAATTCTATTATTATCAGTAAAGTTGCTATAAGCATTCATTTATGTGTCAGTTTTATGTTAATGCACAATTACTATTATAAAATAGTTTATAATAATAGTTAAAATCACCAACATACACAAGTACATGGGAAGTGTACAACCCATTGTGTGAAAAAATACTGACTCTAGGCTTGAGAATGTAGCTCAATTGGCAGAGTACTTGCCTAGAATGCAAAGGGCCTGTGATTCAATCCCTAGCACTACAGAAACCAGGCATGGTGGTATGTGTATCTAATCTCAACATTCCAGAAATAGAAGCAAGAGAATCAGAGTTGAAAGTCATCCTTAGATTTATAGAAAATTTCAGACCAGCCTAGGCCAGAGACCCTGTCTCTAGTTAGTTGACTGATTAATTAATTAGTTAAAAATAATTAATCTCTATGAAGAAAAAAGCTTTACAAACTTATAAAGAAAGAACAAAGGATAGAAAATTGCCTCATCAATGTATTAAAAGGTATTCAGAATATGTTAAAGGTTAGATATTTTAAAACATTAATGCTATTAGATTCTAAATTGCGGGACTATGAATACATTATCTATCTTTTATAATTTGTACATAGTGCTCTTCTAAGAGAAAAGCAAAAGTATTATTCAATAAATTTCCTGGTGCTGAAAAGATTATCAAATAAGTTACCATACTGAGCGGATTATGAAAAGCTTCCTCCTTAAGAGGGGTGTTCATATGTCTTACATCACTTTCATTCATTCCTTCCCTGAATCAGAGCCAATGTTCTTCTCGCATAGTTCCCTTGGTTGAAAATGGTGACAGGATAAGAACAGAGAGGCAGCAAAAAATGACAGAAAACACCAGAAGGCTTCCTATCCCCCCATCCACAAGTTGAGTATGTGTGTGTGTGTGTGTGTGTGTGTGTGTGTGTGTGTGTGTGTGTCAAAATGTACTCTTTCTTAAACGATAACAACCTATTCATTCTTCAAGGATAACAAACTGTCCAGGCTGACAGAACCTTTCCTTCTCCAACTGTCTTAGAGCCCCTGGTTTACATTTACAACTTCAGAACGTTCTATTTAAGATATAGATTGTTTTTTTCAAATTGTCTTTCAGAGGGCAGTGGAAGATCAAGGCTAACAATATAATGCATTTGGAGAGGAGAAGGCTCTTTAAAATTATTTCAACTTCTTATAAGACAAGCAATTTCAGCAGAAGACTTTTGCCTGGCAACTGTTACCAGCAGATTCTGAATGCTAGGAGAGATTTCATAGAATATTGAGTCCTGGCTATTTTCCACTCACTGATGAAAACTAGTTGGACACATTCATAAGACCAAAATTATGTCTACAGGGATGGTTAAGAACAATTTCACTTGAGTTTGAAAAAGAAAGTACTTTTGTGCCAGACAGATCTGGGTTATGAGTCCTTTGGATTCCTTTCAGCTCTGTAACCTCAGCCCAGTGACTCACTGTCTCTAAATCTCAATTTTTTCATATTAAAATGAGGACTCTGACTGGGTTATTGAAAATATTAAATGTATAGGCTTCTAACACTTTTACAGACATTAAATTTAATACCAAAATAAATTTCCAAAGCCTGAAATGAAGACCTTGAAGCCATTTCAGTCTGTTTCAGATCACTGTTTGATGCTTTTTTTGAAACCTCTTGGCATTTGATTATTTTTTCTTTTCTTTTTTTTTTTTTTGTTCTTTTTAAGACAGGGTCTCCCTGTAGCCCCAGCTGGCCTGGAACTCACTATGTAGACCAGGCTGGCCTTGAACTCACAGAGATCTGCCTGCCTCTGCCTCCCGAGTGCTGGGATTAAAGGAGTGCACCACCACACCCAGCAAATATTTTCATTTATTAAGGAAGGAAATCTAAATGACGTGTCATGCACTGTATCTATCCGTTGCTTTATAACTGCTCACTTGAAAAATTAATGTCTACTAACAATGATAAGATGGTCTTTTTTCATATTCTACAGGCTAGATTACCAGTTCTAATCTCACCTAACTTATTTTGTTGTTGTTGTTTATTCCTATGATGTAAGATCTCCTGTATTCCTGGCTGGCCTAGAACTTGTTATGTACTAAGGATGACTCTGAATTTCTGATATTCTTGCCCCTGCCACTCAAATGGTGTGATTATAGGCATAAACCACCAGATTAGATATTGCTGAGGATTAAACCCAGGGCATGTTAGGTGAACACGCTATCAACTGAGCTACACCCTCAGACCATTGCCTAGTTTAATAATGTGTCTAAAGTGAGGCAAAAATTTAGCAATGGGAGAATACTTATAATGAGCCAGGCATGGTAGCTTATACACTTCTAATTGCATCTTTAGAAAACCAAAAGCGACAGCTTGACGTCTGTTCAAGGTCAGCCTGAACTATAGTGTGAGTAGAGAAAAACTATTTAAAATGGCCTGACCATTGGTGCTGGCTCTTGTTTGAGCTCCTTGGTTCTTTCTAGATGATATCGTCAAATTGACTAGACTGAGTATGCTCAAATGACAAGTGATGATAAAGGCATTACAAGATGCAAATGCAGTAGGTCTAAGGAGTTCACACAGCACCACCTTTGCCACTTTCTACTGCCACTGAGTCACAAGGAAGCTTAATTTAAAGGAAAGAAAAAGTCAGTGTTACCTCCTTCTGGAAGGATCTGAAAATACTGTGACTTCCTTTTCTCCATCCTCTCTTGTATTTCAGGACTTGCAACAATTCATTATCTCAAATGCTTTGTGAATGGATATTATTATTCATGCTGTTTGAATATCAGACAGCAAATTTAGAATGAAGCAATGCATCATAGAGCAATGTAAACATTCTAGAATGAATCATTTCCTTGATGAGAATTCTCTGCCCATTCTCACTCTTAAGCTAATTTGGTGAGCTTGGGTGAGTTCTTTGACTTACGAGTTTCCTGGGGCTGCTCTAACATAGGGTTAAAACTCACTGAGGTTTCTTTTTTCTTACCATTGTGGAGCCCAGAAGTCCATCAATGCCGGGTGTGGTGGTGCTTGGGCTTGGGAAGCAGAGGCAGGGGGATCTCTGTGAGATTGAGGCCAGCCTGGTCAACATAGTGAGTTCCAGGCCAGCTAGGGCTACAGGGCTACAGGGAGACCCCGTCTCAGAAGAAAAGGCGAGGTGCAACATCAGGCCCAAGAGGGGGGTAGGCTAGGTATACTCAGGGTCATGTTCCTCCAAAGGGCACTATAGAAAAATCACTTTCTTTACTTCTACGGGCACCATGGTGCTTGGCTTTGATCCAGCATCATTTTGACCTTTTCTTTCATTACATCTCAACTCTACTCTTCCTGTCTTCCTCTTCTAAGGACCTTTAGATTAGATTTGACCCACCTGGATAATCTAATTTCTCCAATTCTAAACACTTAATGTAATCACATTTGCAAAGCCTCTTTGGCTACTCAAGGTAACATCCAGAAGCTTCAGGAATCAGGTCCTGAAAATCTTTGGGTAAAGGGAAGATCATTTAGCCTGTATTGGGAAGACAAATCACACTCTATACCTCCCATTTTCTCATCTGGTAACGGCGATGATAACAGCCATATTGCATCTTTGTCACAAGGACCCTAGGGGTTAAATGGGAATGGTTTTTACGTCAGTGCCTGACTGAGCAAGTTGTCTGTGAGTAGTGGCCTCTGCCTTGCTCATCATATTTACAATTTTATGCAGCTTACTGACTGAAGAGAGAACATTCAAATTCAGCCTTCTGGCATGCGTGCATTCTAAATGAATCACTCAGCTTTTAAATGATCATTTTGATGTAGTCTAGCTCATGAATTCATTTATGCACAGAAAGCTCATGGAACTATCCAGAAACAGTATCTTCTAAGACTGTCTGTTGATGTTGTTCAAATGTAGAACAAGAGTAAAAAAAAGAGAAATGAGCATATACAAAACAAAAACACTGCTGGCTGTCACAGTGCCTTGTGCTTTCCCATACGTGGTAGTCCCTGCACGTTGTTCCCGTGACCTTCACAGTGACTCTCTGCTCATCATGATTTTCATCTTTCAGAGGAAAAACAGAACTCAGATCCATTAAAGATCCTTGGGTTTCAGACCACTCAAATCAGTCCAACCAGGAAAATCCTCATCTTCTCAACTCCAATTCAGCTTCAATTAGGGGACTTTCATTAACTGACTTGCAGTGCATGTTGGAGTTTATATTTTTACTTACCTTATTTTTAGTAAAGAAAAGCTTTTGGACTTTCTTCCCTTGCCTTTTCTAGATATGTTAAATAGAGAGGGAGCACAGTTCAGAACAGTCAAGATGGCAATCTTATGAGCACAAACGCTCCACAGCCCAACCAGAAGGCAGCCAGGAAAGAGGCATGCCCATAAAATCTCTGAAAACACTTAGGCGATTTTCAAAGTTAAACAAGGCACTCAGTCCAAGCCACTAAACTGCACCTCAGAAAAGTGAGCATAAAGAAGGAATTCCAAGAGGGCGGGTTGATGGAAACGGATAATTTTCCCCAAGTAGGCAGCTTACAGCCTGGGTGGTCTTCATAAGCAGAGACATCGGGTCTACCAGTCCAGAGCCTAGGGACAAATGCTGTTGTTTATAGAAAACTTTGGGTTTCTTAGGGAAAAGAAGAAAATCAAGAGTAAATCCAGGAGATGTTGAGCAGTTATCTGGGAATGACAGATTTTGTGTGCTCATTATTTACTTATTTGTAAGATGCTATAAAAACCAGGGAGATAATTAATTTTTTTTTTAAAAAAATCAGCAGTTAGTTAAATCTAGTGTTTTCATGTTTTAACATATAACCTGAGGTTTACTTAATGATTCTTCTCTGTTTCAAGATGAGGAAGGTCTCATGAGTCCCTGGGAGGATAATAACCAGATCAAGATCACAAAACAGGTTTGTATCAGAGCTAGGAACAGAAGCAAAGAATGGTTCTTCCTTTAAACCCAGCACACTTCCAAAAACATCAGACATGTTTATCTCCAGAATAATTTGCTTGTATTTCTAACCACTGTGAAGGCTATAGGCTCTTTTCAAAGAGTGGAGCCATGGGAATTCAATGAAAGGCATCATTACAAAGGTATGAGTGGAACTGAAGGACGCCACAGGCATAAATTCAATCTCCATCACAGCCCTACAGCTTGGCAGTAGCTGGAGGCATTTACTAGGCATGGAGGAGGCGAATGTGGGAAACTCTCAAGTGCCGGAGTTGTGGGAGAAGGAATGTCTGGCAAGTTACACAAACGCAGGAAGACATATAGCTATTTCAAACCTTTGGCCCAGAAAATGTTGGGAAGGTATGGATCAAAATTCAGATATTTCTCCCCCAAACTTCAGTGCTCCTCTAGGTCTTTGATCCACTCAGGCCAGCTTAAGCCCAGAAGTCAGAGGAGTTGTTGCTACCAGATATGCTGATCACTTGGAGCACAATGGAAAGGGGAGACTGTTTCCTGGAGGAGGCAAGGAAGAATTTCCAGTTCATGTAATTACTTTTGACATCTACAGTAACCCAGTCTAAGAATGAATCAGGGTCAATGTTACTGAGACTCTGACCATCAGTCATATTTCTTCTATGAGCAAACTACTGAATTTGAATTCGTGGCATCTTGTTTTAATGAGCCCCTGTCCAGGATAAGTGAAGACCGCTCTGAAAAAGTATAAGCTAAATAACAGCAGTGAATTGATGCCGGGCAAGTATTTTAGAAGTAGCTTGGGAAATGTCAGAGAGGCACAATAATTATTTTAGAATTGGGAATGCAGCTGGCTGATTTTGCTTGCTGTGGAAGGTAAAGCAGAATACATCCCAGGTGTTTCCATAAGACTTTTCAGGGGGGATCTCACTTATGGAGGGTAAAAGGACAATTCTCCCTAAAATGACTTGACAACCGGGTATGTGTGAGTTAGGGTTATGCAGAGAAAGCTGGAAGAAAAATGTCTCAAAGGTAGAAATGAGGGCACGACAGATGACTCGGTGGCTAAGAAGCCTTTGCAGAGAAACTGGGTGTGGTTCCAGCATCCACATCAAGTAGTTCAAAATTGCCTATAACTCCAACTTCAGAGGGATCCAACTCCCTCTGGCTTCCATGGGCACATGAACACATGTGGTACACATAAACTTAGACACACATACACATAAGCAAAAAATTAATAAGTTACTCTATGTTTTTAAAAGGTAGAAAGATGAGTAGATAATATGGAGACATGAGCTCTAGGAATTGAGGGTGCAGTGGAGGCGTGTTGCTTTTATTGGACATTTCAAAAGTATCTATGAGCTCGCTGGCTGTCATTTAACACTGGAATTGTTTTGCCCCTTATATATGATCCTTTTGGAATGGAGAAATGCCTATAATACAGAACCTGGAGTGTATTTTGCCATTCTTATTTAATTTCCCCCGATCATTATGATCATCTCTCACTAGTGTTACCCTCTTCGTTGCTACCTGAAGAATCTTTCTCCTCTGCAAACCTAGACATGCCAGGGGCCAGCGAAGAACAAAAGTGTTCTATCTACAACTCGGGAATTCTGGCTGAGGGTTCAAGGTTCTTTACATGTCTGGAGTCTCATTTCAGCTGTAAAGTTTTGTGCATGTACTTTGAGTATTTGTTACAAAATTGACTTAATGGTGCATCTAAACATATATAAAATAATAATAAAGACCTCTCAAATAAAATATCTAAAATTTTCATTTAATGTTATGCCTCCTCCTGCATAGATATGCAGGTGGACTGCTATTTGGCCTACTCAGATATTTTCTTGATATTCTCTTTAGTTTTAAATCTATTTGTTCAATCCTTAAACTTATTTTTTCTTGCAATAAGAAAATCAATATTCTTCAATTTCACATTAAAGGTAGTTGAGGACAGCCTGATAGGATAATCTTTGAACATAAATATCTTAGAAATATATATGGAGGTAGATGTTTTTTATGCAACATTCTATTTGTTTACTTACTTATGTATTTTATATATTTAGTACACATGAATTGTTGATGTTTTCATACAAGTGCATACTTTGTGCGTATTCCCCCATACCCGCCTTGTCCTCCTTCCTTTTCTCTTCCTCTCCCTCCCGTTACCCCTTTCCCACCCTAGACAACCTGTTCTCACAATCTTAAAAAAAATCAATGCATGAAAATTTCATATTTTAATTATATATGGGTTGATGCCAGAACAACTTAAATAACACTTTTCGAGAAGAGAGTCATAAGTTTCGAAAAATAAAGTTATTCATTGTTTTGTAATAAATGTAGTCTATATTCTGGTTGTACAACAACAACACCAGGCTATCAAGGGATTTCAGGGAAGTTTATGTATCCAGGTATTTTTCTTTCTTCCATTATGGTAACTTGTCAGTGAATATCTATTTTAGTAATGTATAGTCAAATAGTTAAATCTGATTGTAATTGAGACAAGATTATTATCAAGCGGTGCAGCTACACTCTGTGGGAACTATATCTAAAATGGGGCATGTCATGTCACGTGATAGTGGTCTGAAAAGAGCTAGGCTGAAAGTCAGGGTTATTGTTAACAACATGACAGGCCGTCAGAATTTAGTTCTCTTCAAGCAAGAATGACCTACGGGACTTGTTGAAAGCAGATCCAACTGCGGTAAGCGCCTATCATAGGAAAGATTAAAACCAATGTTCAGGTACATCTTTTTTCATTACTTATTTTATAGATAAAGATTGAGATACATGAAGTAAATTTACATCAACC